GGGCACACACAGGGCAGTGTGGTCAAGAGTGGGCACACACAGGGCAGTGTGGTCAAGAGTGGGCACACACAGGGCAGTGTGGTCAAGAGTGGGCACATACAGAGCAGTGCTGGGACTCGCCTTTAATTTCAGCACGTGGGAGACAGAGGCAGGCAGAACTCTCAGTGTGAGACCAGCCTGGTCTACAGAGTTGCTTCCTGGACAGCCAGGGCTACACAGAGAAACTCAGAAAACAAAACAAAAACAAGAGTAGGACATATGTATGACCTGGAGTTACTGCATCATGTGCACTGTGCTATATGCCTGCTGGCCTAGAGTCTGGGAATCCTAGAGAAAAAGGGGATGGGGTGGGGGGGTCTGAAGACATAGCTAGAAGATATCTTCATACCATAACAACCTGAAGGTGGCGATGTTGACAGGAGGGAAATGGGCCAGAGTCCTCTTGAAATAGGAGCTGAGTGCTACAGAAGGATTGAGGACACAGGAGGAGGGCAGCAGCTATAAGAGGAAACAGACAAAGTGAGTTTAGAGCAACAGTCCCAGAGGCAAGGGGAGAGACTTGGTGGTGTGCCAGGTGTGTGTGCCTCTGTACCCGTGCACACAGAGGACGGTCCGTGCACACACAGGATGGTCCGTGCTCACACAGGACGGCCCGTGCATACACAGGATGACCTGTGCACACACAGGATGGCCCGTGTACACACAGGACAGTCAGTGAGCACACAGGATGACCCGTGTACTCAGAGGCAGCCCGTGCACACACAGGATGGCCCGTGCACACACAGGACGGTCCGTGCACACACAGGATGACCTGTGCACACACAGGATGGCCCATGCACACACAGGATGGCCCGTGCTCACACAGGACAGTCTGTGCACACACAGGATGACCTGTGCACACACAGGATGACCTGTGCACACACAGGATGGCCCGTGCTCACACAGGACAGTCCGTGCATACACAGGATGACCTGTGCTCACACAGGATGGCCCGTGCTCACACAGGACGGCCCGTGCTCACACAGGATGGCCCGTGCACACACAGGACAGTCCGTGCACACACAGGATGGCCCGTGTACTCAGAGGACAGCCCATGCACACACAGGATGGCCCGTGCACACACAGGATGGCCCGTGCACACACAGGACAGCCCATGCACACACAGAATGGCCCGTGCACACACAGGATGGCCCATGCACACACAGGATGGCCCGTGCTCACACAGGACGGTCCGTGCACACACAGGATGGCCCGTGCTCACACAGGACGGTCCGTGCACACACAGGATGACCTGTGCACACACAGGACAGCCTGAAAGGATGGTAGTCATGCTGCCCTCAGGCGCTGGTTCACTGGAAGCTTTTCTTTTTATATATTCTTCTTTAAATGAATTACCTTTATGACTGAAATTACAGTATGCTGGAGGGAAGGGTATGCAAGTCAAAGCTTAGAGGCAGGTTGACTACTTGGAAAAGGTTATTAGTGACTTAGTTGCTTCCTTACAGACTCCATCTTCTCTAAAAGAAAACTGTGTTATGTCAAAGAAGCACAGGTAGCCCTCTGTCTACTTCCTCCAGTCAGTCGACAAAGATTTCTTGACTATTTGTCACACGCCAGGTACTCTTCCGGAGCACTGAGGCTCTGATGACATTGCAGCTGCCATCGGTACACTGAAATCAGAGACCAAAAACTCACCCGGAAACCTGTGCACTAGACTTACTAACAGCCTGTTGGTGTGGCCAGGTTCCAGTCAAAAGACTGTTCGTTAATATTCCAATTTTATTTTCCATTGGTAGGCATTTGGGAATATTGGGAGTTTGGCTACAAAGTACACTCAGATGTATGCAAATTGTACTTCAACTTCACATCTCTGTTTTAATACCTTGGTGATTCTTTTCCCGTTTCTACTGAGACTCAGTGTCTAAGGACTCTTCTACAGCATCAGAGCACGAAAGGAGTTGGTGTGAGGTTAGTCCTAAAAATACCGAGCTGGAGAACCGGAGGTGGGAGAGAAGAGAAGGCAAGGCACAGAACAGCAGGAGAGGCTCAGGGACTGCGAGAGTGCCTGGCACAGACAGGGAGAGAAGGTGGGGCTGAGCTGCCTTTGAGAGAGTGTACATACAGCATCCGGTGGATGTCCCCGGGAGCTGCATGGAAAGTGTGAGGCAAGGGTGGTTTTGAAATCAGAGCTTCTACACCGGAATTTTGAGATGTGCATCTCAGTGCACAGAGGTCTGGACAGGTAGTGTTTTCTAACCCTTTTGGGTGTGGAGACCCCTTCCCACAGCTTTTCTCTTTTTGGTTTGTCGAGATGGGGTTTGTCTGTGGGGCCCTGGCTGTTTTAGAACTCACTATGTAGACCAGGCTAGCCTCAAATTCACAGAGCTCTGCCTGGCTCTGCCTCCTGAGTGCTGGGATTAAAGGCGTGCACCACCACTACCCAGTTGTAAACCGCCTTTTTAATAATAATAGCAACAACAATGGAGCGCCCTCACCCCACAGTTAACAGTGACTGTAAACGCAGCAGAGCTTGCTTAGCATGTTATTACTCACTTAGATGTTCTGCACGAACAAAAGAGACTGTCTGTACAGCTAAGCCTGTACACTCTTGGGCGTGCGCTTGATGTAGGTTTAGAACTGGGAGCCCCTTCTTGCATAGAGTTCCTGGGCCTCCTGGAGACCTTGATTGAGAACCAGCAAGGCTGTTTCCCTCCTAGACCCCTCTAATTGGTAGTTGTGATTCAAGAGAAATTATCAGAGATACATGCACCTGTCTCAACCGGCTAGTTGGAGACCCCGCCTAGAATAATGGAAACGTTCTTCATTTTGCGTTTCACAAGGAAATCTCTCACCCATTCAGTCATCTCATAAATGGGTGAGGACGAAGATGAACGTATGTGTTCATTTTTTCCCCTCTGTCCTGTCTAACACCTTTATTTAGATTGGAGCCTCTTGCCACGCCTTTAATGTTCAAGAGCAATTGTTTAGATGTTTCTTGGGGGGCTGCTATCAAGTGCTTGTGAATTCTTCCCGCACTTGACATCTGTGTTGAAGTCATTTTCACAGGGAACTAATGAATGTGATTGCAGGTGCCTTTAATCACAGACTCCTAGCGACAGGGTGGATGGAAGCGGGAGGAGGAACATTCACCTTCCTCCCCGAGTTGCCAAAGCCGAGAGGTAGGGTTGCCAAACTAATGGCGATTATAAACACCGAAAATCGAATGCTAAGTAAAGTGGGAATGATTGACTACTAAATAAAAGCTTTTTACATATTTTTATTATTATTTACCAAAGCCCCCTGGCAGTAGCCATTATCACTGTAGTAGTAACAACAAAACTGCCAGCAGCAGCTGCCTTTGACTGGGACTTTTCATAGGTCTTAAACCTTCCAGACATCAACCCTCTTGAGTTTACAAA